GGTATATTAAGGCTACAACAAGAATTTCTACTTACCTATACAACATGACGTCATAGAAAGCTATATGATGTGATCCATAGAGATAACAATTTCTTAAAAATCTATATTTAAAATTTATTTCAGGTCCTAGAAATAAATAGAAACATACAAAAACATAATATAAACTAAATCTTCTCGTTTTGGGGTTGTATACATAGCTATGTATTTATAACGGGGGTTAAAAACCAAATCCGGGACTTCATAACTATTGATCAAATATTTGCGGAATGAAAATAATAGATAACCACTATTCATGTAAACAAATATATGAAATGGGGGTTAAAACGCATATACCGTAAATATCATGTGTGATTCATAAGGAATAAAAGATTAAGGACAAGGTATGCTGATTTATTTTTATATTTCTGTCGTATAATGAAGACAGGCAGTGTTATGAAATCCCGATCAGCCTTTCCTCAGTCGGTCGTAACAAAAGCGATGGAAAAGTTCACTAACGCCGCAACACTAAGCCGCATGCTTTAAAGCATATTTTTTTTTTGTTACTATCAAAAGCTAGTTTTCTACAGTACTTAAAAATTGCTGCTAGAATCGTGTGGTTAACGTAAATTGATTAAAATTCTTCGATCTTAAGTACAAAATGTAAAATTTTGGTAAGGTTTCATGCGAAAACTCGGATTATTAATTCTGTGATAAGAGTGTAGGATTCTAGCAGTATCTTTTCATGGCCCATTGATGTTTTTACAAAATTATTATAACAGAGAGAAATGAATTATCCCCGGGGTAGTGTTGCACTTTTCACTTTTTCATAAAGGCAATTTTTCTACTTATAGAGGTTACGTGATGACGTCGTAGTGGATTGCATCTAGCCGAAGACTCTATGACATCTATACAATGAATAATAATGGTAAATGTTTTATCTATGGCTTTTCCGATTTTTCAATATTACATTTAAAAAAAGTGTAAATTCACCGAATTCTGGTCTGTGTGCTTCCTTAACATACCTGCGATTATTATATTAGTACATTTTTGTGTGATTTACGCGCGGGTATGTTAAGGCTACACCCAGAGATATACTACTTGCCTCTACAATATGACGTCATAGTAAGCTGTATGACGTGAAGTTTAGAAATAATGATTTCTTAATACCTATATTTAAAGCTTAATTTCAGGTCCAAGAAATGAATGAAATCATTCAAAAACATAATATAAACAAAATCATGTCGTTTTAGGGTGGTATAAACTGCTAAGTATTTATCCCGGGGGTTAAATACCAAACCCATGACGTCATAACTATTGACAAAATATTTGCCGAGTGAAAATTAAACGTTACGAGAATTCATGTAAACAAATATGTAAAATGGGAGTTTTCAAGCATATTCCATGAATGTTATTTGTGATTCATAAGGAATTAAAGACTAAGAATCAGGTACGCTGATATATTCTTATCATGTTTTCTTATAATGAACACAGGCAGTGCTTTAAAATCCCGATCAGCCTTTCCTCTGTCGTTCTATACCAACAAAGTTGCAAAAGTTCAACACTACGCCGCATACTTTGAGACATAATTTTTGTTTGTATCGAAAGCTTGTATTCTATAGTACTTGGAAAGTGCTGCTAGAATCGTGTGATTAACATGAATTGATGACAATTCCTTGATCGTTTGTACAAAATGTAATAATTTTGGTAAGGTTTCATGCGAAACTTTGGAATAATTTTTTCTGTGTCGGGAGAGTAGGATTCTAGCAGCACTTTTCATGACCCAGTGATGTTTTTACATAATTATTTTCACAAAAAGAATTCAATTATCCCCGGGGTAGTGTTGAACTTTTTACTTTTTCATTAAGGCAATTTTTCTATTTATAGACGTCACGTGATGACGTCGTAGTGGAGTGCTTCTTTTAGCCTAAAACTCAATGACGTCTATACAATGGATAATTATAGTAAATGTTTTATCTATGGCTTTTCCGATTTATGAATGTTACATTTTACGAAAAAAGTCTAAATTCGCCGAAATGTGATCTGGGTACTGCCTTAACATACCTGCGCGATTGAAAACTCATGAAACCAGCATACTATCGCTTTGCATTTTCAAATCAAAAAGGCGCACCTTTCATTTTGAATCAATATTAAGAAAAATCAAACCATCGACGAAAGAACCAATAGTAAGTATATAAAATATGCGATTTTTTGTAATTTTTCTGCATAATCATTTATGGAATCTTCCTCTACTATAGCTCCAGTATGACTGATATGCAAATCAGCAGAATAAACACCATTTCTCCATATTTGTGGATGTTGCTAATTAACCGCCACTTAATCAAACGTGCTATTTGCTGATTGGTAGGTTCCTGTTTTGTTGTTTGCCACGAGTTCTTTATGCTTTTCTTTTCTGGTCATGTGACCTGATGTTCAGACTGTGACGCAGACGTTGTATGGGAATGTCTGTAGTTTGTAGAAGGTAGTGTTGGTGAATCATCACGTTTGTGATTTACAGAAGAGCACAGTCTTCACGTTGCTGTTTTTGAGGCGAAACCTGTTATGCGTTTGCAATGCTCTTGATCTTCACACACAAGTTTGTGGATGAATTGTCTTGTTTTACTAATATTTTTTATGTGTTCATCTTTTCCATCAGAGGGTGAGACAACGCTATTTAAATATGGAAAAATCTACGTCTTAACAAGGGGTTCTCAAAATGTTCGTGGACTAAAGTGCCATAAAATTTAAACCGATTAGGGTACATCAATGACTTTTTAAACAATTAATCAGCAGCATCTTTTCTATGTATATAATAAACTATAAATCATTATTTTCAAAAAGAAAATTTGTTAATGTTTTTTATAAGCAATGGTATTTCCAGGCGGCGCAACTTCTAACATGACGTTTTTTCCTACTTGAGTCTTACTGATAACAGCTCTTTTTATATGAGCATTTCTCATTAAATAACCCCATGAATTCACTCATGTATTATGACGCAATTGTTTTGTAAAATTTGCAAATTTTACCTAATTCTGTAAATTGTATGAACTTTTATCCGAAAGTTTAATTGGAATGTATATATATAAGGGGTTGAAAATGACGTCAAAAGGGGGAAGGGGTTTCTTTTTGCAACATAGTAAAAACTGGCAGAGACCAAGGAAATGTTTGACGGTCATCAGAGAAATGAAATGCATGTAGAGTATTAAGAGAGAGGAGAGATGCACAGTTAATATCGATTTGTAGTCAGGGTTTCATACAAGTCAGACAGATCGAAATGTGAAGTTGGGCATGTGTGGTAGATATTTAACTTCGACAATCAAATTATGCTAGCATAATCAAATTAGGAGCTTTTCTTACCTGTAAACCCATTAACTATATTATATGCATTAAAATCAGCTGGTCATGACATAGTAAAGTCATATAGACAGTCCAAGTATTGAGTAAACTCCAAGGAATTCCATTAAGTAAAGTGTATGAGGTAGTGGGAGCAGAAATTGAAAAATAATGACGTTGTCTGACGTCAAAGAACTAAACGGGAACAGCGCTTGATGATCATATATTGTCCTCTGTAGTGATGATTTGGCAAATTATCAACGTATCAAGCTAAGATTTTCAACAATACTCAAACTTTTGTTGCTTTATTTTCCTTATCAATTTTTTAAGCACAGGCTACATGGTATTATTGTTATCGCATCAGTCCACGAACTTTTTGATAATTTCTAGAAGGTTATGTTCTTGAAGCGTGACTGTGTATGCTGTTGGATGTTGAGTCGCATGACTCCGTCTGCTTATTTTAATAAAGACCCGTTCTCCAGTCTTTTTTGCAAGCCTGTCTGTCTTGAGCAGCATATTTTTGGACATCAAATATAGGTTGTCATAAAAAGTTACGTCTTGTAGACACTGGGTAAGGTCCACTTGATTTTATACAGTCTCATCCAAAGGACCGGTCTCCATGCCTCGTCTTTCACAATGTGAAAGAATATCAAAGTGAAATCCTCTCGCACAGTGAAAGAGTATAAAAAATGCGGAAAAATTCTGGATTTTCCTTCACGTCACGAAGAATGTTCACTGTTATAAGATAGAAAAAGTAAGTAAATTATCCCCACAGACTAAAACAGCCAGAGTGTCTCCAAATATGGTGTTGACAATAATGTTTACAATGTATTCGATCTCACAATCGCTAATCTATGATGCCTCAGCCACTCAACTATGACGTCACAGCCGATGACACTGTGAAACAAAAAGATGGAGGCAAAGCGGAAATCACAGATAGTGTAATAAACAGAAAATCCAATGTTTTGTACTTTGAGGAATTTAATTCACTCATCCATCAATATTTTTTAAAAAATATTTTTGAAAAAAAAAAAACAAAACAAAACAAAACTTTCCCACTTGTGAAATTATTTCCATATCCAAATACAAAACATCGAATATTCCCTATGTATGTGAGTTTACAATTGTGACGTCACAAAATATTTACCCGTCTTTCTATTCTTAATGATATCATGTAAATGTTCATTTAACAGTTGACGTCGCAAATAAAGGTTACTTATGTAGGTGACAATAAACACAGAGAAATACATGTATTTGAGTAGAAAAAAAAATTGTTTTGCATTTAAAGATGTAATTAAAAGGTATTTGACTGAATATACCAACCCCCCCCCCACCCCCCCTCCTCAGTCTTTGCCCGAATGCAGACCTCGCAGGCTCGGGACGCTTAACCGAGCAGAAACCTCGGATGGGCTTATTTCCCGATATTCAGTGCAATAACCTATTATACATGTACATGTTCAATTTATTTCGGTGCAGTTTATGTGGAGTAAACAGAAGAAAATATAGTAGATTTCAGTAAATACAAGAGAAATTAAAGATAAAATACCTATAAACAGCATTATTTCAGATACATATATACATATATCATTTTTATTATATATCGGAATAGAGATACGATTAGTTATATTATCAGAACTCCGGTGGTTTGACAACTGTGCAAAATTGTTTCACAATTTCCTGAGAAAGCAAAGTTAATTCATGACGTCATTAAATTCAGAGTTCCTATAGGTGTGTATTTCTTGGTAGGTTGATTCCCTGTTAGTGGAACCAATGGATGTGTAATGGTGATCTTCTTTTCCGCCTTTTAACTCATCATACTTCTGTTCCGTATCCTTCCTGGACAGATGGTCATTAATGGAGTTTTCTCTAACATTGTTTTGCAGGCATCGTGTTCTTTTTATATATACAACTATGATCAGTGTACTGAGAAGAAATACTCCCAGAAGCGTAGAAATGACAGAAATGACAACCAAAGATGTTTTGGAAAACTCGTTGTCTGAAGAAGCAATTGTTTGTTCCAAAATTTATAGAATACCCCTTATGTTTTGTTTGAGAAAACGTATATACATGTAATACACATATACTTAAATTAAAGAACTACTTACCGCCCGTTCTTGGTTCTCTTGTAGTATGAACTAAAATACAGATTATATTTTATATTGAAAATAACAGCTGCTTGATTGATATAACTCTGTATATAATATCCTCAATTCTGAGGTTTTCAGATACGAATCTTTACCTTTAAAGCAAATTTCATTCGAAACTCTGTACAATGAAACATATATTTTTACTTCTTTAAGAATCTTTTTTTTTAACATTCGTTTTTGTGAAGCTTTTTTCTTTTGTTTCTTGTTTTTCGGTTTTTTTCTTATTCTTTCACTTTGTTATTATTTTGAACACTTTTGATTTCAGAAAAGAAATAAGATGAGGAAACCCGAAAGCATCTTACGTAAGGATGTTATAACATGTATTCTTTATTTATCTTTCTTTTGCAATATTTGATGAATTTTAAACTAAACCAACTGTGTTTGATTAATTGTTTTATCAAGATATAATAAAATGCAAGCCTAGTAACAAGATGTTCAATGTTGGCATCATAATAATCTGGTTATCTTATTCTATACAATTTGGTACTTAAAGAAACTACATGTTATATTCCATCGTTTTGTGGTATCATTTAGGAATTCTGATAAAAAAAAAAACGAAATCTTGCCATTGCACATAAGCCCCTCCCAGTCCTGTAAGCAGCCTTTAATGCAGGTTCCTTTTTTCTTGTCACAAGTTCTTTGGATGCAATTACCACACTGCGTATTGCAGCTTTCATCATAAAAGCCATTAACACATTCTAATTTGGAAAGTGTAGAATGCAAATATGAAATTGAGCGAAATTTTTATAGTCACTCGTGTTATTTATTAATTCTTAATTATGAATATGAACTGGATCTTTCTTAATTATGAATATCAAATTTACAAGTTTTGTCAAATCCTTAACTCTTCTTTCAAAGTCTATTTAAACTACAAAACATTTAATCATTATTTAAGTCCTTTAAACGTTTCTTAAATTGAATCATTCCTTTTTAATGTGTCTGATTTACTAATGTATCGGAGTCCACGTTATTTCCAAGTATTATTACGACAGTGATTAAAAATCATAAATCAACGTCTTTGTAGAAACTACAGAATAAAGAGCTTCTCATGGAAATAACAATTCTATTGTCACAATAACCATTAAAACAAAATCTTAAATTACTGCTTCATTTCTTTACATGAAGTCCATCAACCCATTTTAATGTCTAGTAGAAAAGAAATTTTAACAATATCTGTAGATGAAAAATTATTAAATACATACTAAATGAAAAGGGTGGACAAAACGAACAGTGATCGATCAAAAAAAGAATCAACAAACAATACACATCTGTGAACAGGGCATAAAACATAGAGCCATGGAAATTCCAGAGGAGGGATCAGGTACCTAGGAGGATTGAGTATCCCCTATGGATCCTTCCTACCCGTTGTGTGCCTTACTTATTGATCAGGTAAAGGGAATATTTCATAGTCAAATGTAGTATACAAAGGCCGAAAAATTTGTATGAAAGATATCATCTAAATGCTACCCAATGATAGGTTATATTTGCTAACAAGGTTATTGTATCGACCATAGAATTTGCTGTAAGTGAACTGTATATTTTACAAAACAAAAGAATTACATGTATGTTCTTATGTTAGATTTTCTTATTTATGAAAGGGTAAGAAAGAAAAGAAACATTGCCTTGACACAAAGGTCCCTGCCAGTTTCCTACACATCCATTTAAACAAGTTCCATTTTTCTTGTCACAAAATCCTTCAAGACAGTATCCACATTGTCTGCTACAGTCTTCGTCATGAAATCCGTCGACACATTCTAAATAAGGAATTTCATGATATTGTTTACATAAAACTGAATAAAAAGTATGCATTACTTATTATTTTAATTATTTTATTAATCAATAATTAATATAATCAATATTAACTAATAGATATTTTATTATTATAGATAATTTGTTGTTTATATTCTTAAGAACATATCAAATAGAATTCAGGACACTTACATTTGCGCTGGACATTTTAGCAATATCATATATATATATATATATATATATATATATATATATATATATATATATATATATATATATATATATATATATATATATATATATATATAAGTAGTAGTTCTTGGAGACTCGCCAAAGGACAATTAATCATTGGTTCCGATCACATTACCTTTTCTGGAAGTCTATGTACATGTAAATGAGAACTCAATGTCGGATTCATTATCCCATCAAATCCAATGAGTATACCAATTCAATGCAATGGCGACTTAACCATGATAAAGAATGTAAGTTTCCATACAAACTAGTGTATAATTCGTCCACGCACAAATACTGTAATACACTCTTTTCTACTAGGTCTGAATCGTCAAATGCATTACGAGGATATGTGTTGCATACAGGACACTTAAGATATCTGATTGGTCGGTTCCTAGGCTTCCTTGAAGACTTCATTCAATAAAATATTTGAAAAGAAAACATGGGCCTTATTTATAATTTACAAAAATCAGGAGTACAGACTTCATCAGAGTTGCTGTTTATTAGCATAAAGGACGGGCGAAGGATCCCCCCCTTGGGGAGGGGGATGATACCTGATGAGTAATAATAATTATTTCCCACAGATTAAAAGAAATAGACATTCTTAAGCTGATAAACATTAGACAGGGTGCCAAGGTGGCTTACGTTACAAAAGTTCAATTCCAGGATCCAAGACATAAAAATACACTTAATAAATAATAAAATGGCATATGTATTTTCTGTCAACAATTCTTCACGGATTGAAAGCAAGTAAAAAATAGGACATACCAAAAAAGATACATTCAATACTCTCATGTTAAGATATGGGCCGTTTTGAATGAATGTTGAAACTAATTTGAAGAAAGTATACAGAAATGTTGAATGTAACACATTTAGGAAATGTGTGTACATAATGACGTCTTGCATATTGGAAACAACTACAGTCTAGGATAAACATGGTAAAAATTTTAGTTCCGCTTACATTAAATATTTTTTTTTTTTAGAAATAGGAATGATCTGTTTGATCATAACATTTTACCTAAGTAAACTATATGGATATAATTAACCCGGAAATCTTTATCGGGTAGTATTACTTATTACAAAATATTAGCTTTAACTCAGTGACGAAATGGTGGGAAAAAGGCTTAATTTAATTAGATAAAAAAATAAAAGAATAACGTAGGCAAGAAATCTTACATACAAATGCAAATCAAAATATATAGAATGCACGTCCTATGAATGTTTGCATTTTTACCTTGACACAAAGGTTCTTTCCAGTTAAGTTTACATTCCGATAAACAACTTCCATTTTTCTTGTCACAAAAACCTTCAAGACAAAGCCCACATCTGGTGCTGCACTTCTGGTCATACATTCCGTTACTACATTCTAAAATTAAAGTTAACTGGACTAGATTATAAATGTCATTCATTTTGTGTGTGTGTCAGAACAGTTGAAATTATAGTATGATGTCCCGAATAAGAATGCTTAAAACCTGGCTTTTTAGGTATTGTAGTTATGTCACAAATTTAAAATCAGAAATACAAAAAAAACATATAGGCGAACAAATACTTGTTTCTATATACTGATGATGAAATTCAATATAAATCATTAATTAAACTCCATTAATTCTATTCCTATAATGTGGTTGACTTGGATTTACGAGAGAGTTTTTTTTTAAATGTATAATAAAAAAGAAATGTAGTTAGGATATTTCTAACCGAACAGTAGGAAGGCAATCCTACCTAGGCATAGAGGTTCTTTCCAGTTTGTTTTGCAACCATTTAAACAACTTCCGTTTCTCTTGTCACAAATTTTACTACGACATTCACCACACTTAGTGCTGCAATCCTGATCATAAAATCCGTCAATACATTCTGAAATTATAAAAGTTACTCCAATAGTACTCTTCAAGTCAGTATTATCTTGTTTTCTCCATTTCATTCAGAATTGCATTACAACTTTGATAGGGCTATTTGCTCATTGTAGTAGCTACTTAATGGTGCAAGTAGGTTCATTCTTTTAATTATTGTTTAACGCCGAGTCGTCCATTCAAAATATATCATTGCATTTCCACTTTTTAACTTCAGCATGTAGACTATGATTATAAATACAGAAAATATGCACAAAGGGATCTCTCAACTATATATCAACACAGTTGTTGCTTTAATACATGACCCTGATGATCATGTGACTGTCAATTATAATCTCTTTTTAAATATTGCGTATAAATTGCCTCGGCGCAAGTGCATAACGCAATTTTTTGCTACATTTTGATGAATAGATAAATTAACTTTATCTTTTTGTATATGAAAACAAAATGTTTGGGACGTGCCATAGCAATATACGTGTACAAAATAGTTCATGATAATTTGAAGTTGCCCATACATTTGAGGGTATATTCCAATCTTCATCGTAATTCATAACAAAGCGAAGCTTTACACTTCCATCCCAAGCAAGATTCATTTAGAGAACATTCTCCTCTTATGAATTTTTACAAAATATTAAAAGTTTATCTTTATTAATCACTTGCGCCAGCTTGTTATTTACACATATATACATTCCATCTCTTATCAAGGTCCGGTAAACGGGAGCATTTCGAAGTTGCTGTTTTTTTCCAATATCTCATTGAATACACTTAATTTTATTCTAGAAAAATTAAACAAATATTTAAATCCGGTGGAAACACGAGGTTGTTGTCATCTCCCTCGGGAGATAACACATTAAGTTTGAATCCGGAAGTGAAGTCCTAGTATAAGCTGCCATTGATAAGCTGGTGGTCTGGCAAAGGACCTGATGATGACACGATTTCTAAATACAGATATGTAAACAAAATTGACCAAAGTCTGTCTTATTAAACAAAGTGGTCCATCTTAAAGTAAAATTACCCAGGATTCATTAAGAGTAATTCAGGTAGGATCACTTGGGTGGTGGTGGGTCTTCAAAATACACATAAACACTGTATCTAGGCTATTGCGTTAAACGATGGTCAGCGCGCGGGGATCAAAATACACAAAATATGGCACATTGAATGTATAAGCCAAGGCGTGGATTCAAGATTTACTGACGAAAGTAAACAGTGAAAACATTTAAATAACAATTCACATTAAATGCATATATACAATGACAAAAACTTTACCTTTATATGAGTTCTTTAGTCAATCTATATAATTACTGCCGTATATAAAAAAAAAAATAAAACGGAACTTATTGAAAAAAATAAATGTATAAATAAATTTCTAAGAAAAGAAATTTTACTTAAAAATACAATTTAGGCAGAAACATAAATGTCTCTGATTTAAGTAACTCAGTGCTGTAGGCATTGGAATAAAGATCAAAAAGAATCATTATAAGTATTTTCTTGGATTTGTGTACTAAATGTATATATTCTTTTTTATTTAAATTTACCCCCGTAGAAAAGTTTTAGGGAAAGATACAATTTTCTTTACCTGGCTAAGATTTTAAGCATTAATAAACAAAGCAACTGTTATCATTTTCTTTATGCAATTCTAATTTGGGTTTTTTTTGTCAATGAGAAAAAGTCCAAAAAATCATTCCTCGTATTCTTGAAATAAAGCCAAAATTGTAAAATGTATGTTTCATGGAACAGCCTATAAAATCGATGTTGGTAGATTGGGGTTCTTTTCGTTGTGTAAATACTTAATTTTAAATGGTAACGTTTCAATTTTATAACCTTTCTATGCATGATTTTTTTTTTCCAGGAGCGTATACATGTGCGTGTACTTACTGTAAATGTATTATATTTGGCGTGTACGATATCTTGCGGATGTTGATTTTTGAGCAAGTTAGCGTGGATTCGATTTAGCGCATTTTTTAATGTTCTTATTTATGAGTATATGTGCAAGACATTTAGCGTTGTACTTGAATTAGCGGAAGTTTCTATCCGCCAAAGGCGCTTAAAAGAATACACAGCCAAATGTAATACGTTTACAGTATATCATACATAATATAGCATTAGAACATGAACCTGCATGGGCAGCATGATGCAGGAGTGTTTTTCCCTTGAATTCCCTGTGGCTCAATGGCCAAGTCACTTCAAAGGATACTATTAAGGAAAATAAGGAAAGTCTTTGGAATTAATTGAGGTTCAGATTAATTTCAGTTGGCGCTTTAAAACTTCTTTGATGCCGTAGTAGGCGGCTAAGAACTATAGTCAAAAGTTTTTATCCGTCTTCTTTCAGAATAATTGTTAAATCTATATATGGCGTATCTGAGCTAAAAAATAAAAATACGAGATTGAGTGTAGCTAAACATGATATATGTTATTTACGTTGAAATTAAATTTTTCAACTTGAATAACCTCATGTTTCCATAGTTAGACTGATTTTAAAAAATTAAACTGTGTCTGTTAACTGAATGCTGAATCGGTAAATAAATCGGTTATTGTTTTAGATTTGAAATGTGATTGATTTAAATTGTGTAATTTACAGGAAAGTCCTGTTTTTATATAAAGTAATAAAACAAATATAAAGATCTTTTTAATTAAGTTAGTCTTCACTTATAAAAAAAAATACGCCATATATGACTCTAAATAATTCTTACGAATATTTCTCAGTAGTTAGAATTTTTTTTACAGACATTATACAAAATATATTTAAAATGAATAAAGCATATTTACAACAGGTAAAATAATACAGTCACGTAGCACCAAGAGGGCTCCCCCCTTCCACTTTTTTCCCCAAACACTGAAAAGGTGCACCCTTGACCCCTCTTCCACCTTTTGTTGCAGTATGGTACGTCAAATCATCCCATGAGAATGTATTATGATATAAAATATGTTTGTCGAAAAATTGTAATCCTTCCAAGAAATGAAAATGTTGAGTTTGGATAGCCCCTTTTTTCCCCTTGTCAAAGATTGTTCAGATAATTCGTCATTTTTTTTCTGTCCTCCAACCCCTATTTTTTGCAAAAGCGATACTACTGCCTGTAATAGCTGAGAAAATAATATAACATTCCACTGTTTATTCTGTGACATTAATGAAGCCAAAGAGATGACATTTCATGATTTCTAGAAAGCCAAACTTGTGGTAATTTTAATCTGAGCTACAAAGTGAAGAATTGTTTCATATATTTATCAAAGAATTGGTTATATTGACATATCAATGATATTATTTAACTGCGTGAACAAAATTAGACAATTTGATAGTGATTCGGGTAGAGAAGTGACCCTAGGACCCGCGCTCTGGCAAACTCCAGTTTCGTGATATCCACACTGAGGGTGGATTCTGCCTTCTGCTTCATTTAGATTGGTAGTAATGTGTTATCAGACTCACAGGCAACACGAAGCGACGAATCATGGGACTGACACATTTTTACTTTTAACTAATAACTTTTCTAATGTAATAATTGGACACTTGTTACGGAGACATCCCTCCGAGAATACCAAAGTGATTGATATCAATAAACTGCTTCATGACCAGTGTCACCGCCGGGGATTCTATGGCTCAGATAAGAAGTATGTGTTCTGTGATGGAGTCTGCTTAAAAGACAGCAACCATATGCATGACCACCTGTTCTTGGACAAATGTCTACAAAGATGTCCATGCCTCTCAATTTGACAGGGCAGGCAAAGAATCAGGACTAGATAAGTATCAATACTAGTGCATTGCACACACACTGTTTAGTAAGTCTCAGTATGAAGATTTACCCATGTTTAATGGATTGTTATGCTAGTGGTAATGCTTGGTTTCTGCTGATAGTAATTCATGTAAGACAGTGCTGGTGATTATATTTAATCATATTTATTACTAAGTGCTCTGCACATTATGCCAGCTGTCTTCATAGTAAGCTGTCGGGTCAGTTTTTATTGATTTCTATAGATTTATGCAAAGGCAACAAGTTTGTTTCTTTTTAATTCTTCCTGACAACTGCAGGAGTTGGAAAGATTTCTTTATTTATTTAAAAAATGTGGTTGCCTATAATTGATGAGCAATAGTTGCAGCAAAGTTTGTATTTTTTTTTAAAGTTCATTTCTAAGTTAAACTGAAATGAGCATTTTTTCAACTTTTATTTATTATGAGCTGCAACTAATATGAATGTGGACCATGATGACTGACCTGTCAGAGTCATTGTTGGTCAATTTGTGAGGGATCACCTATGGATTTCAAGGATTTATGTGATGGCAACAAATTTGTTATTTTTTTTATTCTTACTGACAATTGCAGGAGTTGGGAGGATCTTTTCATTTATTTATAAAATTGCCTATAATTGTCATGACATAGTTTGAGCTAAGTTTATTTATTTTAGCTCATTTCTAATTAAACTGAAATGAGAATATACTTTTTTTCAACTTTTATTTTTATGAGCTGCAACTAATATGAATTATACCTGACCTGTTCATGCTAATTCTTAAAATGATACTGATATCTAGACAACTTTCATTGTACCTAGAGTTAACCCCACCTTTAACATGATAAAGATGTTAGCATGTTGTCTCATTATTCTGTGCTTATAAATGAATGGGGTACAACTAGTATCATATTACATTCTCATGTGTGAAAATTACCACATGCTTGGACTCATTGTAGAATATCATGCCACCAAAGATTAAGGAAAGGAAATATGATGCAGATCCACAACCACCAGGAAGGACAAGTTACACACTCAAAATGCTCATACTCCTCCTGTGGATTCTATTGTACATATCTGTGTTGGATGGCAATTATCATTGTCTCCAGTAAGTTGTTTTGACACCAGTGGCAACTTAGGTAACTCTAATTTTGTCAACACACTTTAACATTTGTTTCCCGTAGAGTCGATGGCAGATACAGTCAATTTATTGACCTTAAGTGTTTATAACCCAATTAAAAATAACATATTTCAACTCAAAATGTCGATATACACAAAAAATTATCCC